AACCCAGTTCTACCAACGCCCGATTATGGGTTCGAGAACGGCGACAAGATAGGACCACAAAGTTCTTCAAGGAAGGGCCCGCGGCAGCCCCGCTTTGAAGAAGGGCTGCTCTCAACCCGTGCATCTGTTCGACTTGCGTGTCTGGCCATCAAGCCCAATGGAGTGTTTTAGTGATAGCCCCGATTTGACAAGGAGCCGCCCTCCATACGTGTAGCCATTGCACAATTTGAGATTTCGGATCTGAAAAATTAAGGTGTTCTCAGGTAAAAGTACTATTTTGAAGATGAACCGCCGTCCATCCGTATACCTGCTCGAGTTTTTACGTCGAATTCGCGCGGCGTTGAGGCGAGATCCACAATTTGAGCCACCCCCCTCCATTGCTGGAAGTAGTGAAGACGTATGTGCGCGGTGCTGAGACGAGAGCCACGTCTTGACAACGACCCCCTTCGTATACGTAAACGGGTAGAGGAGGAGGCGGAGGAGGAGGCGCGCTCGACAGAAGGGATGGGTCTAGGCTAGGCGTCTGCGGCTGCAAAGCGGCGGGCAGCACCTCCAGCCTGCTAGGCTGGTCCCTATCTGGGCTCAGATCGTGGGCTGGGACACTCCGCCCATGGGAGGAGGCCCACAGCAAGGTGCCGCCCCTCAGGGGCAGTGTGCCACACCCCACTCGTCGCTGTGATGATTGCGAGGGCGTTGGCGCTTGATTCCTAACCACGTCCACGTAAACTCCCCTCCTCGCCCTCCGCTCTGCTCTTCCTCTCCCCCTCCCCTCGTCACCTCGCCCCCCCCCCCCTCCCACCCCTGGGCGTGGCGGCACCGTGCCACCCCCGGGAGGTGTCCGCACCGCTGGGTGCCTGCTCGCCGGTCTCCTCGTGCAGAGCGTGTGTGGCACCGTGCCTTCGGGAGGTGCCTGCTCGGAAGCTGGAGCATATGCATGACCAGTGGCGGGCCGTTCTTCAATCCCAGGACCTTTTTTTTGAAAGGCCAGACGAAGGCGTCGGCGTATATAGTGTTCGGCTCCTTCCCTGCGCTGCCCCAGGCCGTCGCTGCGGCCCCTCTTCTCTGCGGAGGGGCTGGTCCCTTGTGCCGCTGACCCCTCTGCTGCCCCAGCGATCCCCTTCCCCCCCCGACCTCCGCTCCGCCCCGGGGCCCGCCGGGCCCCCCTCGTGCGCCACAGGGCGTCCTGCTGCTCCCCGCGGCCGTCGACTGCGCCCCCTGCTCGCCCGCGCCGCCGCCGCGGGAGAGCCCCTCCGCGCCGGGAGGGCCCCGCCGCCGTCGATCGCTGGGGGCTCGATGTCGGATCGAGGCTCGACGCTCGATCGAGGCTCGATGCCGCGGACGGTTTGTGTGTGCGCCGTGCAGCTTGGGGGCGTCTCCCGAAGCGTCGTCGACCCTCGCCCTGGGGATTGCACGGTGTATAGAGTTCCGGTTTCCAGGGGCCGGCAGCTGCGCGGTTCGGAAACGTCGGTCTGCACAGCCGAAAAGGCAGTGCTGGAGCGTGGCCTGACGGGCGTGCAGGCATGGTGCCCGGCGTGTGCGCCGTCCTCGTATCGAGGTCCGACCGAGGTCCGGGGGTCGAGGCTCGGGTCAGGGCCGCGTTAAGAGGGGCGCGCAGTCAGGGGGGAGCGCGTCGGCGTTTCGGGGTTTTCCGCGCTCGCAGGTTTCCGCAGGCTTTCCAGCCTCGGGATGCTCTGCAGCAGCTGCGCCTCGCCGAGAGCCGTCCCTGGCTGCCCGCATAGTCTCGAGCGGCCCCCGCAGACCCGAGTTGCGACCCGAACACCAGGTGACTGTAGGATCACTGGTTCATGGGGGAAAGCGTCGACCCCCACTCGCCAATCATCGCCGACAGAGGCCTGATAGCCCACCCCGCCCAGAAACGTGTTGTTCCGCAGTCGAGAATCTCGAACCGTCGTCGATCGATCGAGGCTCGGGGTCCGATCGACGCTCGAGGTTCGACGTCGTCGTTGCATGTAGCCCTCTCTCCCTCAGCGGGGAAGTGGCCATGCAAATGTCATCTCGGATGGTCTCTGTATCTTTGTCTCTGGGCAGCTCTTTTGTTGTTCTTGGCCTCTCGGGTCCGTTTTCTTGGGCCCAGTTTTTTTCTGGAACGAGTCCAGGACGGAGAAGCTGCCACCGGGGAAGAGGTCGAGACTTATGTTGTTTGCCGTCGTCGTCGTCGTCGTCGTCGTCGTCGTCGTCGTCGTTGTCTTCGTGGTGGTGGTCCTCGTCGGGGACGACGACGGCTTCGAGGTTTGAGGTTGCCGCCAGAATTTGGACGTCTTCGGCCCTTCTTGGGCCACCTGAGGCCCCCATGGGCGTATGAGCATATGAGGCCTCCTATAGTGGTGGAGACCTGAGGCCCATATCCATTGAGGCCTATATATATATATGGATATGGCCTAGAAGCCTATATGCCACCTGAGACTAGGATATCCATTCATAGGCCACCTGAGGCCACCTCCTGAGGCCTCCCATGTATAGGCCTTGAGGCCCACATGGGCTTCCTTGGAGACCTCTCGAAGCATCCTCGGGCGGAGGACATCGGCGCCTCGTCGTCGTCGTGATCGTCGTGGTCGTCGAGGTCCTCGCTGCAGCCGTCGCCGATGGTCGTCGTGGGTTCCCGTGGCCATCGTGGTCGCCGGCGCCGGCGCTCGCTGCTCCAGGAGCCTTCGACGGACGAGGCGGAGGAGGGGGAAGAGGAGGAGGAGGAGGAGGAGGAGGAGGAGGAGGCGGAGGCGGAGGCGGAGGCGGAGGAGGAGGAGGAGGAGGAGGAGGAGGAAGACAAAGAAGAAGAATAAGAAGAAGACGAATAATAATAATAATAATAATAAGAAGAAGAAGAATAAGAATAATAATAATAAGAATAACACTACTAAGACGAATAAGACCAATACTAATACGAATAATAATAATAAAAATAAGAAGAAGAACATTCATAATAATAATAATAATACTAAGAAGAAAACGAATAATACTAAGAAGAATACGAAGACGAAGAAGACGAATAGTAAGACGAACAAGACGACGAATAATAATAAGAAGAATAATAAGACGACTACGAAGAATAATACGACTAATAATACTAATAATAATAAGAAGAACACGACGAATACGAAGAATAACAAGAATACGAATAATAATAATAATAATAATAATAATAATAATAATCATAAGGGGAATAATAAGGAGAATAGTAATAATAAGAATATGCATAAGACTAATAATAATCAGGAGAATAATACGAGTAATAAGAATAATAAGACGAATAATAAGACGAATGCTAAGAAGAATAGTACGAATACTATGAATAACAAAAATACGATTCATAAGACGGATAGTAATAAGAAGACAAATAATAAGAATAATAAGACGAAACATAATAATAATAATAATAATAGAAATACTAATACTGGTAGTACTACTACTAATAAAACTACTACTAATAATAACACTAATAAAGTAATAGTAATAATACTAATACTAATGCTAATAATAATACTAATAATACTAATACTACTAATACCAATAGTAACACTACTGATAATACTACTAATAATACTAATAATAATAATACTAATAATACTACTAACACTAATAATACTAATAATAATAGTAATAATAATACTAGTATCATTAATAATATAATAAGAATAATAATACGACGAATAATACGAATAAGAATAATACCAATACGAAACATAATAAGAAACATACTAATAAGCATCATAATACGAAGAAGACTATTAAGAATAAGCAGAAGCATACTATAATAAGAAGAATACGAATCAGCAGAATAAGAAGACTAAACATAATAATAAGAGGAATAACATGATAATAAGATGAGGAAGACGAAGAAGAGGAGGAGGAGGAGGAGGAGGAGGAGGAGGAGGACGAGGAGGAAGAGGAGAAAGAGGAGGAGGGGGGGGAGGAGGAGGAGGAGGAGCAGGAGGAGGGAGGAGGAGGAGGAGGAGCAGGGGGAGGTGGAGGGGGAGGAGGAGGAGGAGGAGTAGGAGGAGGAGGAGGAGGAGGAGAGGAGAGGAGGAGGCGGAGGAAGGAGGAGGAGGAGGAGCGGAGGAGGAGGAGGAGGAGGAGGAGAGGAGGAGGAGGAGGAGAGGAGGGGGAGGGGAGGGGGGGGGGGGGAGGGGGAGGAGGGAGGAGGAGGAGGAGGAGGAGGTGGAGGAGGAGGAGGCGGAGGAGGAGGAGGAGGAGGAGGACGAGTACGACGAGCACAACGAGCACGACGAGTACGGCAACGAGTACGACGACGGCGAGTACGAGGACGACGACGAGGAGGACCACTCGCAGGTGCACGGGTCGCCGGTCGTCGCCGCCGTCTTGCGCTCGCCACCCACCTCTGCCCTTCTCGCTGTGGATCTTCCTGCTCTGCCGAGGGAGGACCCGAGCCTCGAGCGGATTGTTTGTAAATCCCAGCATTCTCCCCAGGTTTCGGCCTCGGCCTCGGGAGGTCGTGCTCGGCCCGCGGGGTGATCAAAGATGGGCCCGGGGCGAGGGACGGTCCTCGCGGAAGGTGTCGATGCTCCTGGGGCCCGCGGAGATAACCAGTGCGCCAGAGGTCTTGGGAGCACGACGCCGGGCGGGAGCACGGGGGGGCCCCACGTTGCATCCCGAGCTCGGATGCATGCTTCTACTTATCGGGCCTAACTTGCGGCCTACTCTCGGCAATTCTGGCTCATGTGTGGCAGTCACGCCTCACGTGCGTTTTGTTTATCGCACTTATGCTGTACTAACGGCGACCGAGAACGCGATAGCCAGGAGCGAGCCTCTAAAAGAGGCCGCCAGGCAGTCCCCGCCGTGCTGCGGGTCCCCCTAGAGGCACGTGTGAAATGGGGCCCCTGGCTCCACCAGAAGGTCGGCGTAGCAGAAGGAGAGGAGTACGACGAGGAAGAGGAGGAAACGGAAGATGATGTGGTGGGTGTGGATGAGCAGAGGGAGGATACCATGTGGGCCGTATTTTCGCCGAGCCAGGACAACCTCAGTGAGCTGGAGACGGTCCCGACGGACTCCGATGCAGAGGCGGGCGACGGCTTCTTCGCTCTGGCTGGGCACAGTCAGCCAGCTCCGCTCGATTCACTGGAGCCAGGCAGCCATGACGCCAGTCGGTTCAGTCAGTCACCCAGACCACTCAGCCAGGCACCGGTCACTGGTTTCACTCCTGCTGCGACTCGATGTGTAGTCGGCTGTTTGAAGGAGGAGGAGGAGGAGTAGGAGAAGTAGGAGGAGAAGGAGGAGGAGGAGGATGAGGAGGAGAAGGAGGAGGAGGAGGAGTTGGATGAGGACCGCCCGAGGGCTGCGTCATAGACTCGAGCGCTCGCAACGTCGTCGTTGGCGGAGGTGTGCATAAGTAGATTCGTCGTCGTCCTCCTCCTCCTCATCCTCCTCCTCCTCGTCCTCCTTCCCTCCCTCCTCCTCCTCCTCCTCCTCCTTCTCCTCCCTCCTCCTTCCCACCTCCCTCCTCCTCCTCCTCCTCCTCCTCCTCCTCCTCCTCCTCCTCTCCTCCTCCTCCTCCTCCTCCTCCTCGTCCTCCTCCTCCTCCTCCTCCGTGGGACTGTGGGACTCCCACCACCTCGCGTCATGGAACAAGCATGCGACGGAGGATTGTTGGCGTGCGTCGGCCTCCGTGGGCCCTTACCGGCCTCTGGGATCGTCCACACGAAACGACTCAGGACGAAAAGCTGGTCCGGCCTTCTGGGCCTTCCGAGAAGCCCCGCCCCGCTGCCTTCCCAGTGGGCATGCCGCTGATTGGAGGGCAGTCTCGCCATGGCAGGGGTGGCGGACCGCCCTGCACGACTCCGTCTACTTCCCGAGCGCCGTCGGCCTCGTCGTCGACTCCTTCAGTGCTTCCGTTTGCCGCCAAACGGATAGGCAATCATCAGTAAGCGGGCGTATTCCACAAGATCTTCAATTTATTCAACGATGAAGGTGTGATCACCTGCGTGTTCGGTTGAGGCTGGAACGTGGACGGTCAGAGCGACGTGTCTCTGGGCCTACCAGATGGGGTGCGAGTAGATGGGGTCGGAGGATCGCGGCGCATCGCTGAAGCATCGGCGATGCGACTCGATGTGGAGCCTGCGTCTATCCACGCCGACATCGCCGATGCATCGCCAGCGTCGCCGATGCATCGGGGATGCGGCGCCATCCTCCGACCTCATGTGCTTGGACCCCATCTGGGAGGTCTCTCGGGTCGTGAGCCAGACTGCCCTGAACTAGAACTGGGCAGTGCAGAGGTTCGTTGCGGCCCTGGATGTGCCGGGGGATTCGATTCGTTGCGCTCCCTGGGCTTGGCTCGGTGCGCCTGGTCCCGCGTCTCAGGGACAGCGGGTCAACCGGACGCCCACGTGCCTCCCCCCCTACGCGGTATTCCTCGAGGAGGGAATTGATGGATGCGTAGGCCTTTCGCCCCCCTTCCTGTGCTTCCTCTCGAGGGCCCTTGCCAGGCCATGCAGACTGAGCACACTGAGGTGGATGGGGGAGGGGCATGAGAGACCAGCTCCTCCATGTTTTTTTCCCGACGACTCTTTCAGGCTATGCGGAGGGAGAACGAGGAGCTGAGGGAAGTGTTGGAGAAGCTGCAGCTGGATGTCAGCCAGGAGCGCACCGATGGGGACGTGCCCCTCCCTGCGATGAGGGCGCTGGTAGGAGAATGATGACGAGTATGAGGATGGTGACAAGGATACTGATTGTGATCGTGAGGGGGATTCGGCTGATGACGATGAGCATGCGTAAACGGGAGGATCCGATGGCGATGATGATGGTGATGGTGGCGATGCTGATGCTGCTGCTGCTGATGATGATGATGAGGATGAGGATGATGATGCTGATGATGATGATGAAGATGATGATGATGATGATGATTATGATGATGATGCTGATGATGCTGATGATGATGATTATGATGATGTTGATTCTGATGCTGCTGATGATGATATTGATGATGATGATGATGATGATGATGATGATGATGATGATGATGATGGTTGATGATGCTGATGGTGATGACGATGTTGTTGATGATGCTGATGGTGGTGGCAATGTTGATGATGATGATGATGATGCTGATGATGATGATGCTGATGATGCTGATGATGATGAGGAGGAGGATGGATGATGAGGAGGATGAGGCTGTATGTCGAGGGAGGGTGGGTGATGACGAGGAGGCAGAGGCGTCCATGATCAGGACGACGATTCTGATGAGCGGGAGACGGGCGAGGGGTGGAGCGGGAAGAGGGGGATTACGAAGACGAGGAGACGATGCATGAGGATGTGGACGACGCTGGTGCTGAGGATGATGCTGGAGACGATGATTCTCTCACCTGGCCTGGTGGCGCTCTGGATGATGCTGATGACAACGAGGACGATAATGACCATAATGAGTAAGGGTGAGGGTGATAATCATGATGATTATGATAATAATGGAGGTGGTGGTGATGGTGATGGTCATTGTGATGGTGATGATGCTGATGATGATGCTGATGATGTTGGTGGTGGTGATGATGATGACTATCGTGGTGGTCGCGATGTTAGCGATGATGCTGATGATTCTTGGTGCTTGTTGATGAATGATAGTGGTGGCGGGGACGGCGATGACGCTGCCGCTGTTGATGATGACGAAGATGAGTCTGAGCAGCCAGACGCACCACGGTAATACCAGTCCCAATGACTACAGGAAGGTTTGCCAGCGTGCACGCCGCATGTGGTGCAGGCTACGTGGTGCAGTCTAATTGGTGCAACTGATGTATTCCGGCTTGAAGTCGACAGCTCCACTGCTCGTGTAATCATTCCACCCACTCACCCGCAACAGGTTGGCAACACCCAACTGGTCGTGCAGAACCTACTAGTCTGATATGTGAGATGCGCGATCGTGCACACTAGCTACGCGAGATCAGTACCCCTGGGGAGGGAGTCGCTAGCGGGTTTAACCATGGCGCTGCCCTGTCAAAGGCCTGGGTCAAATTAGCGTGGCCTTATGCCCCAATTTTGCAACAATGTTCCGGCGCATCAAAACACTTTTGGGCAGCAGGCGCCGCTCGCTACGTATGCCATGGTGCGGGCGACCAACCACTTCCGTGGTCAAGCGGCGCCTGATGCCCCAAAGTGTTCCGATGTGCAGGAACATTGGTGCAACACTGGCGCGCAAGGTCACGCTAAATGGACCCGGGCTTTGGGCAGGAGGTGGCAACGCCATGGTTAACCCGCTGACGCGCCGTGTATAGTTTTACTTCTCTGGTGCTCACTTTCTGTCTTTGTTTCGTCCTCTTCCTCCGCTTTTGCTCGCATTTGCGGGCCGAATTTCGTGACATTCTCTTTGCGTACTGCCGCCTTTGATTTTGGACAACCGCGCGCTTCGCTATGATACGATTTCGGGTCATATTTGTATCATGATCCCCTCTTACCCAAGTCGAGTGCGCAACGATTATCGGCCACGAGGCCAGGACACGTTCGGCTCTGTTCATTCGCGCTTCATTTCTCTCTGCTTTCTTCCTTACAAACAGTATCCCGAGGGGGGTCGCTAACCCTGACCTCGGTGGATTGTTGGGGGTGGGGTGGAGGGGGGTCGGGGGGGTGGGGGGTGAGGGTAAAACATTAGACAAGAGCATACAGGTGGAGCAACCTTTGTGGTGCAAGCTATTGGTGCACGCTATGTGGTGTAAACTCTGTGGCGCAGCCCAAGTGGTGCAGCCTAGATGGTGTAGACCATGCCGTGCAGTATACGTGACTCAAGCTATGCTGTGCAATCTATCGGATGCAATATAGGCGGTGCAAGCTATGCCTTGCAAGCTATGCGGTGCAAGCTATGTGGAGCAACCTATGGTGCGTAATCTACGTGGTGCGATCCACCTGTGGAAATCGCAGTCGGCAATCGCCAACTCCACTGCTCGTGCAAACATTCCACCCTGTCCCCCGCAACGAGCTGGCAACGTGCGCCTGGCCATGATCTCAACGAGCGCACGGGCGCGTGGAACTCAACATCGTAGACAAGTCTGTCCTACAGGTAGCGACATGGTGGCGTCCATGGGCACGACCGCGACGCCAACGACGATGGAGATGACAGTGGTGATGATGCTATGCCGATGGCGATGGCCAACGTTCGACTTGACAGAGTGGCTAACAGCCAATGATGTTATGAAGATTGCAGCGAGCGCGCCCGCAGAACTCGGGCAAGTCTTTGTTAAGCAACCTAGTTCTTTTTGATAATTTTGATGTGCCATATGCTTGGCATCGCTCGGACGTGTGTATTTTTCCTTCGGCGAGGACCATCGAGGAGCATCCTTGATCATTTGGCGAAAAAGCCACGCACGAAACCGAAAAAAACACGGAATGGACGTCCGAGCGATGGCCAGTAAGCAGCCAAGTGCTTTCTGATAATTTTTATGTGCCATATGTCGAAATTATCAAACGCATTGTATTGCTCAGGATGTTGACGTGCCCGCGCGAGAGCGCGCTCATGTGCCCGGCAATACGTTTTCTGCAATAGGGGTCCTCGCTGTGCTTTCACACGGCATGCTCCGACATGTCTGGGTCCACACCGGCATCGCCCGGGACGGTACGAGTCGGAAAATTCGCGATGTGGGTACAGCCGTGTGCACCTTGCGCTACGAAGAGGCGGACCGATACGTCCGGCCTCGGGAGAGGGAGGGGTGGAGCCTACGCGGTGTCGGTCACGCGGTGTATTGTTTCTGGTGTCACGCCACGTGGTGCAGCATCTGAGATGACATCGTTGCGGTGCACGCTCTCCGTTGCAAGCCACCTGGTGCAGCCACGTGCCGCGAGCGATCTGATCCAGCGCACGTGGTGCGAGCCACGTGGTGCGAGCAGCGCGGTGAGCCCAGCGCACGGGGTGACTCAGGAGGGGAAAAACACACAGACACAATTAATCGTCGACTCCCAGGAAAATATGGGAAAATATGGGCAGTGGGGGGGAAGACAAAAACCCAGAACATATGGGAAAATATGGGAAATCTTTTTATTTGTGTGTTTTTAT